TGGAATATGCCAAAACCAAGGCAAAAGCAATCCTCCAAACAAATGGACGAAGGTGCTCACAAACAAATGGAGAACAATCAACTGGAATCAGCTGAGGACATGACACCAACAAAATCTTCAGGTATGGCTGAAATACTCAAAGAACTGAGAGAATTTCGAACTGAAACATCAGCCAGCTTTGGAGCATTAAAAACATAATTGAATGAGCTACGAGCAGAGTTCACAAGCATCAAAAAAAGAATGGAGGAAGCTGAACAGAGAATTGTTGAGAGTGAAGACTATGCAATGAAAACCTCCAATGTGTTAATACAAGTGGTTCAGATGCAAAAACAACTAGAAATGAAATGTGAGGCACTTGAGAGCCAAGCTCGCAAAAAATATATGAGAATCTACTCTGTACCTGAGGGTTGTGAAGAAAATAACATCATTGAGTTTGTGAACAAACTAGCCCGTGAAAAACTGGATGTGATTGATGATTTGAATATTGAGAGAGCACATCGTGTTGGGCCAAAGATGGGACAAAGGGAGCACCCCAGAGCAATCATGGTTCGAGTCCAGTCATACGCCATGAAACAGAAAGTATTGGAGGCTGCTTGGAGAAAAAGGAATGTTCAAGTGACAGACCAAAGGATTTATTTCGATGAGGATTTTACAAGCGCTGTGTTCAAGGAGCGGGCTAAATACAAGGAGGTGCGGAAAATACACAACGAAAGAAAAGTGAAGTCACGGATCTTGTTTCCAGCGAGACTGAAACTCTTTTGTGAAGATGGGAAAGTGAAGGTGTATAGTGACCCCCAGGCTGCTGCTATTGGACTATGTGAGTTTGGAGTAAAATGAATATTCCAGAAGAGGTTCCCGATCTGGAATCAACGCTGAGGAGCGCAGGATGGGCGTCAGTTCATGCTCAACGGAGAACAAGCCCTGGTCATGAATTGATTAAAGGAGTCAACACTCTTCTGAAAAGTCACAAGAGTTGAGGTACTTTTGTGAAAAATAGTTGATGGCAAATTCTGCTGTGAAAACTCTGAAAAGATTTGAAGTTACTTAATATAACACACTTGACTATGAAAACAATATTGATCCAGATGGTAATCTGTTAAATACAATTAATGATAACTGTAAATATTACACAAATGATCGGTTTAATAGTTCTGTAGATTTAGGTCATTTCTCACTTATCCACTTTAATTGTAGAAGTCTTTACGTTAGTTTTGACCAAATTAATGCATATATGAAAACATTTAAGCACCAATTTGAAGTGATTGCTTTATCTGAAACATGGTTAAATGAAGAAAAGGGTACAGATTTTGATATGGTAGGGTACCATTTGTTTTATACAGAGGAAAGAAAAAAGGTGGAGGGGTTGCACTGTACGTCAAAAGTGCCTTGAAGTGTAAAATACTGGACTCCATGGCAGTAGCTGTGGAAGATGTGATGGAATGTGTAGCTGTTGAAATAGAAATGGAAAAAACTAGAAACATTATAGTAGCCTGCATATATAGAACACCTGGCTCCAATTTACAATGTTTTAAAGAAAGATGCGAAACTCTCATAGATGGATTAAATGACAACAAATCCTGGTTAATATGTGGAGATTTTAATATTGATTTACTTAACCAGAGAAACAAAATGACTAGAGACTTTATGGATGTGATGTCCAGCAGGAGTTTATATCCTGTGATCACTCAGCCTACTAGAGTCACCAGTACCTGTGCTACATTAATAGACAATATTTATACAAATGAAATTGAGAAGACAGCTAACAGTGGTCTCCTAATTAGTGATATAAGTGATCATCTACCAATTTTTTATAACACATAAAAATGTATTCAAAAAACCTAAGGAGTTAGATCAGATAAAACATGTTAGAATAAGGACAGAGGATGCTATAACAGCATTTTGCAATGACTTGTTGAAGGAGAACTGGAGTGGGGTTTATGTGAAGGATGTGAACGTGGCATATGATACGTTCTTAAAAACATATAAATCTTTATATGATAAGAACTGCCCTGTAGTTGTCTGTAGAAAAAAGATAAATATGAATGTAGAACCGTGGTTAACTAAGGGATTACTAAAATCTTATAAAAGGAAAAACAAATTATACAGAGATTTTGTCAGATACCGAACCAAAGCCACAGAAATGAAGTACAAAATATACAAAAATAAATTGACATCATTAATAAGACAAGCAAAAAAATATCATTATAATTTAAGGCTGAAGGAAAGCATAGGTGACATGAAAAGAACATGGAGAATTCTGAATAGTGTCATAAGATCCAGGTCTCAGCATGCCCGTTATCCAGATTTCTTTACTAACAGAGATAAGATCTTGAGGGATAAAGCTGAGGTGGTAAATGAACTTAATTCATTTTTTGTAAACATAGGACCAAGTTTGGCCAAATCTCTGGAAACACAAACTAATGAAGCTGGAAAAATACAAGGAGGGAGCAAAATTTTACAGTCTGTTTTTAGGGGATGTAAGTGAAAATGAAGTTTTGACGATAGTTAGGAAAACTAAAAATAAAACTTCCACAGACTGTGACGGGATTGACATGATGACTGTAAAGAAAACTATTGATTATGTTGTTAAACCATTCACTTATATCTGTAATTTGTCTGTTCAGAGTGGTACATTTCCAGAAAAAATGAAAACTGCAAAAGTAATTCCAATTTTTAATAAAAATGGTGATAGACATAAGTTTGATAATTATAGACCAATCTCAGTGCTTTCTCAGTTTTCTAAAGTGCTTCAGAAATGGTTTGTTCAGAAACTAAATATCTTTATTGAGAAGGAAAAGCTCCTGAGTGAGAGTCAGTATGGGTTTCGATCACATAAATCTACATCCCTGGCTTTATTGGAATTAAATGAAGAACTTTCATCAGCAATAGAAAAAAAAACAATATACAGTTGGGTTGTTTATTGATTTAAAAAAGGCATTTGACACAATAGATGATAGTATTTTACTCTCCAAGCTGAGGGATTATGGGATACGTGGAATCGCCCATGACTGGTTAAGTAGTTATTTGACCAATAGAAATCAATTTGTACAGTTAGATGATGAAATTTCAGATTCACTAGAGATTACACACGGTGTCCCACAGGGGTCAGTGTTGGGACATAAGCTTTTTATTCTATATATAAATGACGTTTGTGATGTGTCCAAAGTATTACAGTTCATATTGTTTGCTGATGACACAAATATATAGTTGTTCTGGAAATGATTTAGAAATTATTATTCAAAATATGGTTTGTGAAATGTCTAAACTTAAGAAGTGGTTTAATGACAATAAATTATTTCTCAATTGGAATAAAACAAAATTCATGGTTTTTGGTAACAGAAAAACTAATGATTTAGTTACGTTGTCTATTGATGGTTTTTTAATTGATAGAGTAAATGAAGTCAGATTCTTAGGGGTTCTCTTGGACCATAAACTTACTTGGAAATCCCATATAAAATATATTAAACAAAAAATATCCAAAAGTATTGGAATTTTAAACAAAGTCAAAGGTTTTCTAGAAATTTCAATGCTTCAGACATTATATTACTCATTTATCTTACCATACTTAACTTATTGTATTGAGGTTTGGGGCAATACGTATAAAACAAACACTAATCCTTTGTTTCTGTTACAGAAGAAAGTTTTGCGAATTCTATATAAAGCAAATCCAAGAGAACATACTAACAAATATTTTGTTCTATCTAAAATTATGAAATTCAAAGACTTAGTTAACTTGAAAATTTTACTAATTATGTTTAAGGTTAGAAATAATTTGCTGCCAACTAATCTACAAAGGTTCTTTGTTTTAATCCCAAAAAATGATAAGAGTAGAAAGAAACCAGAGTTTAAAAGGATATTTGTTCGTACTACATTAAAGCAAATGTGTATTTCAATATATGGTGTGAAATTATGGAATAACCTGGATGATGAATTAAAAAAATGTACAACTACTGATCAATTCAAAAAAATTTATATAGATAAAATGCTAAAATCGTATGATTTGGTGAGTTAAGGATGGAGGATTAATGTTTTAGTAGTGATATTATTTGTGGAAGTAAGAGAGCGGTTTATTTTTTGTGTATAAGGCTATTTTGTACTTTTTTTATCTTGTCTTAGTTAAAGGGGGTAGGTCATATAAGATTTTTTCTTCCTCCTCCCCCTATTTCACTCGAATGCTTATATTCTGATTTGAAGTTTGTATATTTAAACTTTGAGTGAAATAAATTATTGAATTGAATTGAATGTTGCAGAGCAAAGACAGTTAGTTGTAGAGTCATGTTGCTGTTAGCCAGTAAGAGATGAGGTGTCCAAATATCAAGAAAAAAACCTCCAAATCCTGCCGTTTGAAGCTATGTTTGTTCCCCTCCTGCTGACTTCTATGTCCTCAAACAGGAAGACTAGAGAATAACCAAGAAATGCAAGTTGGTAAGATACACAGAATGATCGTACAGAAGAAAACTAACTGCATTTCAAAAAAGCATCATCACACCAACAGTCAGACACGGTGGTGGAAGTATGATGGTCTGGGGCTGCTCAAGGATAGAACCATGATTTCTGCAGTAGCAGAATGTCCTGAAGTACTTCTTCCATACAAGAGGATCAGAATCCCGATGGACTCCACCAGCTTCTTCGAAATAGGATAATCCTCCACAGTGCAGATATATTTTCACTAATTTGTGTCTTTCATGTTTGTGACACAAAACCAAATGATTCTAGATCTTTTGGCTTTTTATTCCAGAACATTTTAGCTGTTTGCTCATTTCTAATGGCTTCCACCACTAATGAAACTGCTTTTTCCTTTGTCCCGGTCTGTTCACGGCTCACTGAACATTGTCTCAGCAGGAAAAAGTAAGTAAGTGGAGTTGTCTTAAACACATGACACCAAAGTGAGATTATTGTTAAACAAACTCAGGTTTGGACCAGGCCACTGCCTTGTTTTAGTCTCCACATCCACCCACTTTACGTCAGGAAGGGAAGCCAGTGTATTTCCTCCCCTGATTTTTGCAAAGGAAGTGCGAAACACCAGCATCGGTGGTTGAGCTGGGACACATTTGGCTCTGACCACTCTATAGGAGAAGCCAGAGGAGCATAGAGTCAACATGAAGTTCATCAGGGTTCTGGTCCTCCTGCTGCTAACATCGGTCCACATCTTCACACCAGGTATGAAAAGGGCCTCTGTTACTGACTTAAAATGTAAAATATTTATCTAACATATATTGTATTGAATAATGGAATTTTTGCCTTTTTCTGCTAAAATGATTAAATTGAAAGTTAAAAGCTATTGTTTTATTTTTATTTTATTTTGTTTTTTTACTTGGTGATGATGTTCAAAGGAGGCTGACACTTTTTGAACGTTGCCTTTGAGACACTCAGATGGCATTTCCGTTTATCCAGGATGTGATAAGCTACATAAGTGTTTCCATGCACTCAAGTTTTAACCTACGAATTTACTTTATTTTTAATTCAAGAATCCACAGTGTGTTCCTTTCTCCTAATCTTGAAATAAAAAAATAGAAGGAAAGGGCCAAGAGTCTGGCTCCTGGTATGTTTGTTTGTTTCCCTGGTGCTGAGCCAGAAGAGTGTAACTGGGTAGGGCTGATAGGTGATCACACAACAGATAACCAGTGGGAACCAGACTGCCCCCTTTTTCTCTCCCTCACAGAGACAGCAGATTATTCTCCTGAAACCAAAAAGTCCCAGATGGGAACAAATCAACTTCCAATTCTAAACATCTGGAGGAAACACCCTCGTCTGAACACACAGCCTCTCGATCCCAGTATAATGCTATAATGGTCTCAAAGGTTTTTGAGTTACCTCGAATGACCGATTGAGCTGCTTTCCAACCAAAACTTGGCTTAACAAGCTTCAGAAAAACATTTCTACGATTAACTTTCTTGCATAACAAACCTCTGTAAGTTCAGACTGATCCGAGCGTGTCTGCAGATATTTGGTTTAACATGATCAATAAAATCTCAGCAGACAGCAATGAAGACAGGAAGGAGGACACATGTCCTGTTAGGGACAACAACTGTGTCTGTGACAGGATGCAGGTTCACAGACACTGAAGAGGATGTCCACCTCAACATGCCACAACCTCCCCCATCCTCATCTGACACTTGAAGCCAGAAGGTCTTTGCTCAGACGTCTGCCTTCAAAGTGTTACCAGTGCAAACCTAAAATAGAGTGCCTGTCTCAGGAAATTTCATACACTGACAGATTTTTGTACCACCGTCACTCAAAAACATGTCTCTGTGACCTCTGACAATGAGTGTTTGTCTCTTCCTTCATGTTAACATTTGTGTTTCTGCTTTCCAGTTTTATCGTCTGAGGCAGAGCAGGAAACAAGTAAGTACTAACGCAAATTATTTCATTATTACATGTTAATCTGGAGACCAGGCAAGCATCTCACACTGGAACAACTTTTAAAGTCAGTAGACAGCAACAAAATAGCAGAAATAATGATTTTGAGCTAGATAAAAAATAAATAAATAAAAGCAATCCTTTCATCTCGAAATCCAGTTTTAGCTACTTTCCTTGGACTGGGTGTGACAGCAGCATACCCATGGTATAACAAGAAATTCCCAAGGTTTTTGCAAAATATAATCTATCTACAAAGACCTGGGTCAATCTTCCCTACATAGAGCTGACAATCCAGTTTGACCAAAACAAATGAAACTAGATAAAACTGGGAACGCTTCATAACCTGGCTTAGTCTGGAATTTTTGTTCATAAAGGAATGAGGCTGGTAACCATGGAAAACCATAGGGGCATCCCTGGCAGATTCTAGTATTTATCTCAGTTTATGATTGGGTTTCCCATTGCCCCCGGATCCAACTCACCACCTGATGGCAAAGGTAATGGACTAATCAAGACAGCCCTATATTGTTAAACCTCTACACATCACTGGTATGGGTTCCAGGGAAGGCTCAAAACTATATAACTTCAATATATGGTGCCACCCATTTTAACTCTTAGGCTCAACGCCAATACTGACTACAGCCTACTGGCCTCTGCAAAGTGCACTTCAAGGAAGTTCATGTAAGGGTTTGAGTGCATAGTGAACAAGTATGCAAGTAACTACTGAATTGGGACGATGAGCACTACGTGATATATCGTCGTCGTCGTCTTCCTCCGCGGGTCCGGGTCGCGGGGGCAGCATCCCAACTAGGGAGCTCCAGACCGTCCTCTCCCCGGCCACCTCCACCAACTCCTCCGGCAGGACCCCAAGGCATTCCCGGACCAGATTGGAGATGTAACCTCTCCAACGTGTACTGGGTCGACCCGGGGGGCTCCTGCCGGCAGGACATGCCCGAAACACCTCCCCAGGGAGGCGTCCAGGAGGCATCCTGACCAGATGCCCAAACCACCTCAACTGACTCCTTTCGATCCGGAGGAGCAGCGGTTCCACTCCGAGTCCCCCCCGAATGTCCGAGCTCCTCACCCTATCTCTGAGGCTGAGCCCGGCCACCCTATGGAGGAAACTCATTTCGGCCGCTTGTATCCGCGATCTTCCTCTTTCGGTCATTACCCAAAGCTCATGACCATAGGTGAGGATTGGGACGTAGATCGACTGGTAAATCGAGAGCCTGGCTTTCTGGCTTAGCTCCCTCTTCACCTTGACAGATCGGCTCAGCGTCCGCATCACTGCAGATGCCAAACCAATCTACCTGTCGATCTCCTGATCCTTCCTACCCTCACTCGTGAACAAGACCCCAAGATACTTAAACTCCTCCACTCGAGGTAGGACCTCTCTCTCGACCTGGAGTTGGCAAGCCACCCTTTTCCAGTCGAGAACCATGGTCTCAGATTTGGAGGTGCTGATCCTCATCCCAGCCGCTTCACACTCGGCCGCGAACCTACCCAGCAAGAGCTGAAGGTCAGAGCTGGATGAAGCTAGGAGGACTACATCATCTGCAAAAAGCAGAGACGAGATTCTCCTGCCACCAAACTCGACACACTCCACACCACGGCTGTGCCTAGAAATTCTGTCCATAAAGGTAATGAACAGAACCAGTGACAAAGGTCAGCCCTGGCAGAGTCCAACCCTCACCGGGAACAGGTCCGACTTACTACCGGCTATGCGGACCAAACTCACGCTCCTCTGGTAAAGGGACTGAATGGCCCTTAACAGAAAGCCACCCACCCCATACTCCTGGAGCGTCCCCCACAGGGTGCCCCTGGGGACATGGTCATAAGCCTTCTCCAAATCCACAAAACACATGTGGTTGGGCAAACTCCCATGCCCCCTCCATCACCCTTGCAAGGGTATGGAGCTGGTCCACAGTTCCACGGCCAGGACGAAAACCACATTGCTCCTCCTCAATCTGAGATTCAACTATCGATCGGACCCTCCTCTCCAGTACCTTGGAGTAGACCTTTCCAGGGAGGCTGAGGAGTGTGATCCCCCTATAGTTGGAACACACCCTCAGGTCACCCTTCTTAAAGATGGGGACCACCACCCCGGTCTGCCACTCCACAGGAACTGACCCCGATGACCACGCAATGTTGCAGAGATGTGTCAACCATGACAGCCCTACCACATCCATAGCCTTGAGATACCCAGGATGAATCTCATCCGCCCCGGTGCTCCGTCACTGTGTAGTCGTTTGACTACCTTAGTAACTTCTGCTCCGAGATTGGACAGTCCATACCCAGGTCTCCCGGCTCTGGTTCCTCCTCGGAATGCGCGTAGGTGGGATTGAGGAGCTCCTCAAAGTATTCCTTCTACCATCCGACTATAGCCCCAGTTGACGTCAGCAGCTCCCCATCCCCACTGTAAACAGAGTGAGCGAGTTGCTGCCTCCCTCTCCTGAGGCGCCGGACTGTTTGCCAGAACCTCTTTGGAGCCGATCGATGGTATTTCTCCATGGCCTCACCAAACTCCTCCCACGCCCGAGATTTTGCCTCGGCAACTGCCACTGTTGCACCCCGCTTGGCCATCCGGCACCCATCTGCTGCCTCCGGAGACCCACAGACCAGCCAAGCCCTGTAGGCCTCCTTCTTCAGCCTGACGGCTCCCCAAAACTCTGGTGTCCACCAGCGGGTACAGGGGTTGCCACCACGACTGGCACTGGCCACCTTGCGACCACAGCTAGCAACAGCCGCCTCAACAATCGCAAAGTGGAACAAGGCCCACTCGGAGTCAATGTCCCCCACTGCTCTCGGGATGCGGCCAAAGCTCTGCCGGAGGTGGGAGTTGAAGACCATCTTGACAGGTTCTTCTGCCAGGCGTTCCCAGCAGACTCTCACTATGTGTTTGGGTCTGCCAGGTCTACGCGGCATCTTCCCCTGCCATCTGATCCAACTCACCACCAGGTGGTGATCAGTTGACAGCTCCGCTCCTCTCTTCACTCGGGTGTCTAAAACATACGGCTGCAGGTCAGATGATACGACTACAAAGTCTATCATCGACCTGCGACCTAGGCTGCCCTGGTACCAAGTGTACCGATGGGCATCCTTATGTTCGAACATGGTGTTGTTATGGCCAAACTGCGGCTTGCACAGAACTCCAATAACGAAACACCACTCGAGTTCAGATCAGGCGGGCCGTTCCTCCCAATCACACCTCTCCAGGTCATGCGGCCATTGCCCACATGAGCACTGAAGTCCCCCAGCAGGACAATGGAGTCCCCTGATGGAGAGCTATAGCACTCGTCCCAGGGACTCCAAAAAGGGTGGGTACTCTGAACTGATATTTGGCCCATAAGCACAAACAACAGTCAGGACCCGTTCCCTGACCCAAAGGTGCAGGGAAGCTACCCTCTCGTCCCCCGGGGTAAACCCCAACACACAGGCAGAGAGTCTTGGGGCTAACAAAAAGCCAACCCCAGCCCTCCGCCTCTCACCCGGAGCAACTCCAGCAAAGGAGAGTGTCCAACCCCTCTCAAGGACTTGGGTTCCAGAGCCATGTGTCGAGGTGAGTCGACTATCTGCCACAAGCTCCTGCTCCTTTCCCGCCAGCGAGGTGATGTTCCATGTCCCAAAAACCAGTTTCCTTGTCTGGGGATCGGACCGCCAAGGCTCCTGCCTCGGTCTGCCACCCAATCCACACTGCACCGGACCCTTCATGTTCCTCCTGCGAGTGGTGGGTCCACAGTTGGATGAGCCCATGTATCCGGTTCGGGCTGGGCCCGGCCGAGCCCCATGGGCGAAAGCCCGGCCACCAGGCACTCGCTCATGAGCCCCAACCCCAGGCCTGGCTCCAGGGTGGGACCCCGGTAACCCTTCGGGCCGGGTACTCCGACTCCTTGATAGTTCATCCATGAAAGATCCTCTGAACATAGTGATATATCGTGACTAACTAAATGGGGATGCAGGTCACTGTGTGCACTACTTTACTGCTTGAAATGATATTAAAAGAAGTGAGAATTACTGGCATGTTGTGCTCAAAAATACACATCAGCACTGTTATCAGTTATCAATATTTATCAACAGACGAGTAGTCCATCGTTCCAAAAGGTAAACATTTGATAATTTGGTAATTGTAACTGTACAAAATAATAAAATTTGGTGTTTTGGTGCAAAAGGGGCAGAGCCATGGTCCACAGTTGAGAATTGGGACACTCTACACACTTGCGCAATGCGCAGTTGAGGGGCACAAGGGCAGGAGTGTGCGTATTGGGACAGAGCCTTTTCGGGCCTTTTTATCGGATGCGTAAGCATCGCATAGTGTCAGCAAAACATAGAACACAGCAATTAGCCACAGTTATGGTGTAACATACCAAAAGGGTCAATTTTCACCTATATATTGATCAACATAATAACCTTTCATCTACAGAAAAAAATCCACTTTCTATTTGGCCTTCCAAGCCCAGAAGGTTCTCCTCAGTGCTTGTTGACATACAAGAAAGACATAATAAACTGTCAAGGTCCCCTGCACTCTCTCTGCATAGAAGCCAGGCAGCATTCTTCACTCTGAAGAAAGTGAAGCTTCCAGGATTCTACAGTTATAAGTTAAATAATCATATGTGATTAATGAACAAGGTGTTTAAATGAAACGTTTGAATAATCTGTGCTTAAAGCAATGATGGCTTTGAAACGAATATTATTCTTACAATGGTCCATTTATATCACAAATCAGTATGTGTTTGATTTAACAAGTTAATCATTGTTTAAACTCATACACATTACAATGAGATACATATTAAGGTTAATATGCACCTCACATAAGAGTTCAAAGATTCTTATTCACAGTGTTAAGAAATCTTTGTATCTGAAAGAAGGCGTGGCTTTCTGAGGGATGTTGGTGAATACCCAGAAACGTGTCAAATTCTAATTTGCCAAACTTGGCCAGAAATCATAAAAAGTAGTTTAATAAAACAAGAATTACTTCCCGAGTAATTCAGTTTCCAGCTGACCCCCGATTCCGCCAAATCGGGAAAGAAGCCTCTTTTGAAACCATCATGTTTGACCTCCAGTCAAAAGCCTTCCTGCGACGCTGCAAGTGGTTACAGGCACAACAGCTCTTTTCAGAGCTACTTCAACTTTCAGACTTGGACACCTAATCTGCAGACCCCGGGTTGCATCTCATGGCTGGGGAAGCTGAACTCAGAGGAAGCTACTAATCTCTGAATATTGTGGTTTCGACGTCCAGTGACCTCACCACTCGACCACATCGCTCCGGACTGCCAGGAGCAACTCATACCAGGGTATCGTAAGCCTGCATACTGGTGTCTGATGAGGTTTTTAAGTAAACAACGTTCTAGTTATAACCAAACAACAAATTCTTTTACACCCAAATTTCACAATTTTTCTCAGATACAAAGAATGGTTGCTACAACATCTAGCCTCCATTACATTTCACACATTACATTAAATCACTCCATATCCATTACACCACATCTCATTATTCATATCTTGTCATGTATAAATTGTTAGTTTAGGAAAAATAATTAAACTCATTTTATAAACTATATACTGACTCTGTCTGAATTAATACGAAGTGTGTTTATGGTCCCTGAATAAGCAAAGAACCCTAGAATATTTTGATTAAACATTCAAAGATCAGTCAGATTGATATTTCATATTTGTATGGAATATCACATCTTATTGGTCATAATTAACAAATGTATTCCACTACATTTAATGGCGAGCCAGCCAGGTGTGTGTAGGTTCACTATTACATTATGCACCACATCCACTGGAAAGGCTGTGTTAGGTATTTATGTCTGAAAATAACTGTGTTTCTATTTTATAGAGTCAAATGTTACAGAATCTCAAACCACTTCTGAGCAACGAGCGGTGTTAGTTACAACCACAAGTAAGTATAAAAACAATTATTGGATTTTAGGCAATAGCTAACTTGTTTCCACATCCTTCTGGCTATTTAATAGGGAACTCATTTAAAACCTGGCAAATCATTCAGGAGACATGATGTTTGGGTTTTTGCATGTGTTTAAGCAACAAAATCATTGGACCAAACTGAATCATCAACATCTACAGCTCCAACATCTGCCCAAGGGGTAACTCCAGGCCCCCAGGCCCCCAGCACCACAACTAATCTTTTCACCAAAGGTAAGAATCTTCAGTCTGTTTTTGGTTTCTGAGTGATCTGTACATTTAAAAGTTTGGACACATCCACCAGCTCACATCATTCTGTTTTTCTCTTTTTTTATCTAGATGTCCCCATTGGGCGAACTACCACGGTGAAGACACTTTTAACCACAGCAGTATCGACTCAAAAGCCGAGCGTGACTACTATGTTAACGGCAAACCAGACCACCAAAGAAAGTTAGACCTTTTAAATAGCTTATTTTATTGGTGTGTTTAATCGTTTGACCTTAATTTTTTTTCTGTAATTTCATACATTCTGTGGCTCAAAGTTATAGGTATACTGTAGGCTTTAAATTAACATGGTGTACAGTGGCCCAAAAAGTCCAATGTTTAAAACAATACCAGCAAAACCATGACAAAAGGTTGCTGTGTAAATACAAATGCTATACCAGGAAATATTTCAATGAAAGTAAAAATAAAATGTTGTGTCTGCCAGAATTAACTCAAAAGGAAATTAAGAGGCTACCTTCAATTTAAGTAAATGCAAGAACAGTGTCCTAGACACTGTCCCCTGTAAAGCCTCGGTCCCAAATGTTGTTTGTCTCATGTACCGAAATTAAGGTACTACCATAACTTCTGCTTTAGCATATTTAATTTTTTAGGTCATTTTACTTCTGTCTCAGTATTAGTTTCATTGTAGGTTTGTTGTTGTCTTTTGTTTGTATTTCAATTAACCTTTTGTGCCACCGTACGTTTGGGTTTGATATATCCAATATTTAGAACATGTCTTATGTGTAGTGTTATGCTGTTCTGTTTAAATTTTTATTTTTGGTTTTTTAACACATAGCCACAAATTTCTTGTATTTTAATACATTGTTATGTTTTTTATTATTTTTAGATTTGACAAGTAACATTGATAAACCACTAGGCCACGTTGATATGACAACCATGAACAACGACTCAGGTGAGACCAAACTGCATGGAAAAGGGAGTTTTATCTTAGCTTCTGTTTTGTTGGACTGCTAAAACAAACAGGAACATAATTTTATGAAAAAAAATCCAGTGATCCATAAATTTCCAACATTTTCCCAAAACCATGAGATTTTTTATTTTATTGTGATGATCATATTCACTGTCTGCAGGTTCAGATATCTCTGGCCAAGGTACAGCATGCTTATATAAATATTTCTTTTCTAATGTAAAACCAAAATCTTCATCTTTTAGTATTTATATTCACCTATTTATATTTGCTAACACTTTGTAGAAAGCGTTTAATCAAACTAACTAAGCTGTTGTAGCAAATCTACAGAACGAGCTAGGTTTTGAACACTTTGTTGTCCGTGCCAACAAATGGTGTTTTTCTTTTTTGGGACTCTGGTAGTTCGTCCTGAAGTAAAAGTGGTAGCAGCCGGCTGTTTCTCCTTCTCTGATATTATTTAGCTCTCACACCACTGGTGTTTTGTTGCTGAATACGTGAGTGTGTAATGAATGGAGAACTCAGGGAAGTGCGGCAGTTCAGTGAGACCGATTACCAGATGGTCAGATGGTGCTTTCAATCTGACACCAGGTTTTTCGACAAATGCAAGTGAACTGCTTTTTTTTTTTTAATTGACAATATAGTTATGGCTATACTATGTTAGAACATTGTTTAGAGGCATGAAAAAAAAAGTTTGAAGCTATTTTGTTTTCAAATTTACCATTGCAGCTTTAAATATTTTAACCACAAACTAACTTCTATACATTTCAACAATTGAATATCAGATCTTTTTTTTTTATTCTGCAATGTAACTGATTTCTTCTGGTTTTCTTAGCCCTTCCACTGTTCTCCTGGGTGACCCCCACCAGCAAAGTTGACCACTGAGCAGGGTTGATGGTTTATCCCTTGAGGTCCACGTGGCACGGGTGAGGTGGTGCTCACTCCTCACCCGTGCCACATGAACCTCAATGGATAAACCATCAACCCTGCTCAGTGGTCAACTTTCCTGGCGGGGGTCACCCATGTGGCGAGTGGGAGGGTTAAATAACCTAATGTATCAATGACAGATTCCAAAGACAAGATCCAAATATTAACACAACCCGAGAAGAAAGATGAGAAGCCACAACCTCCACAGAAACATGCAGGTAAGTCTACCAATTCTACACAAACTCTTTATTATCATCTAGTGGCATTAGGAAATAAAAATAAAATATAATGTGCTGAATTTGTTTTATTAATATTGTCAGTGTTTTATAATAAAAATGTAAAAATGAAAAGAAACTATAATTTTTTTTTCAATTACATAAGCAACATTTCAATGCCAAACCCTGCCTTTATATGCCTGCACTTTGTGCAACAAGTAAAAATTCCTAAATTAAAATCCCATATATAACCACAGTGAGTCCTCTGGGTTATCAACAAAACCTCAACAATTTACAAATTACTGCAGTACTTCTGAGTTAGTGCCTCTTGGTCTATTTCTGCTTCGTTTTGCCTAAATTAATTTTTTTTTTCAGTAAATTAATCACTTTGAGTGACATCTTTGTATTCATCGTAACCAGCGACCTTTATTTTATCAGTGCAAGCTAATGGCCAAAACAGGTTCATAAAACCTGTTACATAATTTCCCTGATGATGGTACTTAGTTTCTGTTCACTTCAGTCTGATTATTAAATGTTTTTGGAGCATTGATTAAATTGATTAAAGCTGCTTGCCTTAGAACGCCCGTTAGCAAGTGAACCCTTACTTTTGCTAAAATGACTGAAGTGTCTGAATGTTAAAAAAACAAGATTAATATGCAATTTAGCTTAAGAATATCACGTTTCAATTAAATAGTCATAACAACATAATCTTGGAGGAATGAATACACCATTTCAGCTGAATCATTTGAGTTTGGTTTAATAGTGATCTGCCAGAGCTTAGCTGATGACACTGTTCTCCTACTGCAGGCGCAGACAAAAGGCTGTGGTGGATCGTGCTTCCTGCCCTCCTAGTTGTTGGTGCAATTGCAATTGTCTTCAAATTCAAAAGCAAGAAAGTCCATGATCACTCAGGTAAACGCACACGCAGGAAGAAAATAATACAAACTTCAAGGAGCAGAGTCTTTTCTTGCCGTTTGATCATGCTACTTTTTGGATATACACAATTCAAAGGTCCAAACTCTTTTTCTGTTGCTGTATTTAGCCATGCTTCCAGAACACAGGAAAATACAAAACTGCCTCTTTTTTTTTTTTTTTTTTTTTTTTTTTTTTACAATAAAACACCTTGCTATAATAGTTAGCATGCTAAACGCTGTTATAAAGTTACATTGGTGTGTTGTTTTTAAGAATTATGGCAGAACAACAGGTCGACAACATCAAAATGGAATATTGGTAACACTTTACAATAAGGGTCCCTTTATTAATGTTAGTGCATTATTAAGCATTAATATACAAAGTATCTGTTAACATTCCAGATATTATGTATTAAGTGTGGTCCTTAAGGTTCGGACAAAAGGTCGGAGGGGTAGTTATCCCTCCAAAGTGTGTGTGTGTGTGTGTGTGTGTGTGTGTGTGTGTGTGTGTGTGTGTGTGTGTGTGTGTGTGTGTGTGTGTGTGTGTGTGTGTGTGTGTGTGTGTGTGTGTGTGTGTGTGTGGTGGTGGTGGGTCTGTTTAGTAATGCATTACTTCATAACATTAATATTAAACAGTTGTTAATACTTTATTTAATAGGTCATTAATGCTTAATAATGTACTAAGTAAAGCTACTTGATGTTGCCGACCTGTTGTTGTTGTTCTGCCATAACTCTTAAAACAACACACCAGTGTAACCGTATAACAATTTAGCATGCTAGCTATTATTGTGTGGTGTTTTTATGGTAAAAGAAAGAGGTAGTTATTTGCTTTCTCGATTTATTCTAACTGAAAAATCACAGCAGCTCAGCACCAACAAAAATCTGGAAAACCACCACAAACCTAAGGTCAAAACTTTGTGAACTCAGTCAGCTGACAAAGGACAGGCTGCATTCATAGACAACAGGTCCATCACCTAAACAAGAACTGTACCAGACTCTAAACAGAACATGTAAAACAACGCCTTAAATTAAATTTGAAAACAGAATGGAACATTCCTGCTGTGACTCTAGATAGTTTGGCTGCTAGCGCCGAGAATGTGCAATTTGTGCAGATAGAAGGGGCTAAAGTGGGATGCAAAAGTTTGGGCAGCCTTTCTTGTATAAATCATTGGGTGTTATGATAAACATTTTCAGTTAAATATATCATATAGGAGACCCACAGTGATATTTGATATATGGAACAAAGTTTATAGGATTTACAGACAATGTGCAATAATTGTTTAAACAAAATTAAGCAGGTGCATAAATTTGGGCACCACAAAAAAGAAATGAATTCAATATTTAGTATATCCTATTTTGCAGAAATAACAGCCTCTAAACACTTCCTATAGCTTCCAGTGAGAGTCTGGATTCAGGCTGAAGGTATTCTGGACCATTCTTCTTTACAAAACATCTCAAGGTTCATTCAGGTCTGATGGCTCCTGAGCATGGACAGCTCTCTAACTCACACCACAGATTTTCACTAATGTTCAGGTCTGGGGACTGAGATGACCATTCCAGAATGTTCTACTTGTTCCTCTGCATGAATGCCTTAGTAGATGTTGTGCAGTGTTTAGGGTTGTTGTCTTGTCGAGAGATCCAGACATCTGAGATCTCTGAGACAGCTTTCTGTATCCTTCCCCTAAACCATGATGTTGCTGCTCTTCAGAGAATGTTCAAAAAGAGGAGGGAAACTTACAATTGGCCTCCTCAAATACTCTCTCATAACTGAATTCACCTGTGTGCGGAGGTCAAATGTCACTGAGATTACCAAGCCAATTGTGAGCTCCAATAATTAGTTCTAAAAGTTTTGAATTCAAAATGATACCAGTGCCCAAATGTATGCACCTGCCTAATTTTAGCCCTTTTTACAAGACACACCGTGCCGGCAAATCAGTGCAATGTTACCACAACGGTGTGTCTTATAAAAGTGCCATGCCGGCAGGGTGTGCGAATTTTGCGGCATTTGTTCCGACTCGCTTGGTAGTAATATTGCTGCAATAGTCTGTCTTATAAACAGCGATTGCACCGTGGCGCAACTGAGGGAGGTGTAGTGATGACATGGCGAGTTAAGGCCGAGCTCTGGCCAGCAACTATATTGAAAATAAAAGTAAAAGCGGGCCGTACGTTTTGCTTTTTGAGAAAAACCATCTGAGACGCCAAACTGGAGTGCTGCAGTAAAACGCAAATTTGCTTTATTTTCCCAACACTGACCGAGTTTGAGATTTAATTAACTTCTGTTCTTGTTTTCTGCAGAAACCATTGACACTGGGACTGAGAAGTATGGAGTCCAGACCTATAAATTATGTTTGATTTGATTGTGAATCAGTTCATCATTATTATCCTTTTGCCTCTGCAGTGCATCTTTCCAAAGCAGACCTGAAAGCACCAAAGATGGAGTCATGCTCCTAGGAGTAAAGTCATCCAGCACAGAAGAAAATGGTGAGTGTTTCCTGTGACGGCCCTTCTTGTTCACTTGTTCCTCCGTAAAGCTCTTTCTCCAGACGCGGTTTTGTCATTCTTGCAGGGAAGTTGTGGGCTTTTAATATCTCATTGTGCTGCTGAGGCTTTGCTGGGCAGCAGAAGGTGTTTCCTGTGATTTCTCAGCCGCGCCCTAAAACAAGCAGCAGGGATTGAGAGATAGCGACTTCCTAACATAAACACACATTATTTTGGACAGGAGCTATTGTGTGGTTAGTAAATGTCACCGTATAGCTCCAACGCTGGAAAAAGTGCGTGTGCCATGTGTGCCTTGAGTACACGTGCACATTCTGTGTCGTGCACATGCCTCCCCTCCCTTCCCTCCACCTATGCAAAAAATGAAGACAATTTCAAATGGCCTTCCTGTCCGTTCCTACCACAATCAGGCCTGGATTTGGCTCAGAGCGTCAGAGGGAAACTGACTCATGCTGTAGGAATCTGGTTGAGGGAGAAAATGTTTATGTTGGGCCAAAATACTGGATGTTTTTGAATTGCAGCTTTAAAAATGAAGGAAACCGGGTTAGGAACTTCCATATCAACAATTGCCAAAAAAACGGTCTGCCTGCGTGAACCCATTCTTGAGTGTTGTTCATGTTGTGTGTGTTGCAGCTGCTATGAGCTAAAAAGGAGAAGAGAAGAAGAGTAAAGTGAAGATCAGCACAAGGAGGCGCTGCAAGGGTGCTCCTGGTCAGCAGGGGCCAATTAAGTTTGACTCTCAATTCTTTTTATTTTATTTTATTTTGCAAACCAGGAAAGTTTTCATGTCTAAATTTAGAAAGCTGAATGCAGTTTAAAAGCCCTAGAACAGCAATGCCTCTGAAAGAAATGGATGTCTGCAGAGCAGGGCGGTGTAATATTAGGAAGGCATGCACTTAGGTCAAATTTGTTTACTAAAGATGCACCAGACAAACCAGCTGGTGATCATAATGGATGATATTCAGCAGGATCAGCTTTTATGAAGCTAGAAAATCAGCTGTTTACTTATTTGGGTCCCTGAATGCATCATCCATTGCCAAATAGAAATACAATAATGTTCTAAAAGACCAGAGGCTGGAGCTAGAGCATGTAGAGCTGTCATGTTTAATATGTGGTGCACCCCCAGCACACACCTTTTTAATGCTGAGTCCACACACACATCCCTCCTAAAGGGCCTCAGGCCCATTATGCACTGATGTAACAAATCGCTCTCATTCTAATAAAAGCATACTATTTTTGCTGTTTATCTTTTATCTGGGTTGTCTCTGTTCAGGTGGAGTCTGTTTATCCTGTTTTGTACAAACCTGTCTGTCAAAATAAATCTCTAAATCCAAATTGTTGTTTTTGTGTGTAGAAGCAGGAAGCAACACAGATATAGACCCATTGCAGTGGGATGTAACATACCCACACCCCCCAGCCCCAGGCTGGAGGCAAGACGCCAGCACCTCCCTGTTGACCACAGCTGTGTTTATCTGTTAGTTATCAATAAACAGAGCTAAATAGTAGCAGCAAAATAAAATCTATCAGCATAGTTAAAACAAGTAGAGCTGTAGGCTGCACAAGTAGATGAAAGAAGGTCAGTAAAGCTACATTTTACTGGTTTCCAGCTGATAAAATACTCTAAAGGCAGTGGTTAACGGCCAATTACAGTGGATGAACCAGCCACAACGTGGCAAAGTCTCATGACAGAATCAAGTGTAAAATATCTGCCTTACATGTCCAGAAACAAGTTATAGAGCTCCGGGAGTTGACGTCACTTCTCCCGGCATGCAACAGTTCAAATCGAAACAACGCCATATTGGCAGGCAGAAGTCCGCAGCTGGACTATTTGTTATTGTCAGAAAACTCAATCAGACAGGAAATATGGTAGATTCCTGTTGTGCCCCAGGATGCAGAACAGACGCGGACGAGATAAGGGAAGAGCCATCTACAGGATTCCTCAAGATCCGGAGTGCCGCAAACGTTGAATCATTGTAGTAAAACGCACTAGTGACCGGGCTCAAATGAAACTGTGGGATCCCGAGAGTAAAGGTTTTCGCTTATGCAGCGACCACTTCATATCAGGTACTTAAACCAACATTTCCTCAACTGTGTATGGTGTTTATTTTAAATACTTTTATTACGATTCTTAGTGGGCTTCCTAAACTTATGTTGGCGTGGCTTTTTCTGTCTTATTACTCATAGCAACAAGTAAACATCACGTAAAACGTTGCCTCGTGATTTCTGGGTGCTGCCGTTTACGTGTTTTAGGATCACAGCAATTAACCGGCTAAGCTGTATTTAATTTTTAAGCAATGGTTGATCAATTGTCAGATCACACATAAAAAGCACTTTGGATTGCTATTATCTGTCTCACCGAGACAGATCTCAGACAGATCCTGAGACGCTCCTGCCTGACATATTTATTTTATTCACGGAAAAAAATCAGACTATTGATTTCTCTTGGCGTTCAGTTTATACATTCAAACAGCACAGCACTCTATTTAAACTACTTACGTGTAAATCTGTTATTTGTCCATCCATCCATCCATCCATTTTCATCCGCTTATCTGGAGTTGGATTGCGGGGGCAGTAGCGTCGAGAGGCCCAGACTCCCCAGCCATTTGGGCCAGCTCCTCCGGGGGAATCCCAAGGGGTTCCCCGGCCAGGTCTGGTAAGAAGTCCGCTCCGACAGCTTCTGGCGGTTTTAAAAAGTATCCCAGGGGCACGGTAAGGGTCGGAGATGTTTAGTCTATTTAATTTCTGACTATATAAAATGATTTCTTCGGTTTTAAAGTGTGAAGTAAACTCCGACGAAGTAAAATCCAAGCCGATACCGTTCATTTTGTTTACATTTGTTGCCTGCCAACATGGCGTCTACTCTCTGAGAGTCACGTGACGTCCGGAGCTCTATAGTCATCTAATGACTTATATGCTTTTTTATATAATTATGCGTGACTGCGAGGATGAGGAAAACCCGCAAAATGTAGATGACACCCGGTTACTACGTTGGTTCAGCTGTGAGACGTCCAGGCAGCTGGTCGTCTCACAGCTTGCTAGCTACTTCAAATGCATCTGGAAGCATTGTGCTAACCACTGTTAGCTTTGAGATGGTAAATGGCCTGTGTTTGTATTTTGTTTTTCGGGTTCTACAACTCCCCAAGGTGCTTCACAGCACAGTCAGTCATTCACCCATTCACACACACATTCACACGCTGGTTGTGATGAGCTACGATGTCGCTAAAGTTACCCTGGGGTGTGCTGACAGAGGTAAGGCCTTCTGAACAGTGGCGCCACCGGTCCTTCCAACCACCACCAGATGTTTGTTTGTTGTTCATCTGCACCAAGATGTGTAAGATTATCTAAAGTAGTAATATCCTAAATCCCTGGGTTTTATTTTATTGGCTTAAGCCACGGAGCTCTGGGTAATGGCTGGAGACGGGGTTCTTGCCCTCCAGCTAGTGTGGGTGTGCACAGTTACCCGGATATAAACAATAACATGCAATAGGTCTATAGGTTCACTGTAAACCCACTGCTTTGTTCTCAGTGGTTCCCTTTCAGTCGATTCACTCAATACAACAAAGGTACTATGGGACATCATGCCCTTGTGAGGCCTGGCTGAAGACACATTCAATCACACCTGTAAGGCAAATGAAAGTGATGCTGCGTGGAGGCCCCGCCCTCCACTTATAAGTGACCGCATCACTGTCATTCCTCAGTTCTTATGCTCTTCACATGGCTGAGTACACACCTGAAAAGTAGCTGCACTATTGAAAGGTAGCTTAACCGCTCGCTGACTGGACTCTACTGCCTTCTGGCTAGCATTCCCGCCCACCGAGCGCTATCTTTTGTGGCTCTTCAGCTTCTATGCTTTCGCTCCACTGTGTGTCTCCCAATGAGCACAGTGTTGGACGTCGCTTCACGGAAAGCCACTTCGCGCCACTGTGCTCAGGGCTGTGGATTCTTTCTTCACAATAAGGACCTACACGAAGCGTGCCCAGTTTGTCTGGGAATTCTCCACGCCAGGAAAGGGCTTGTGGACCTGGAGGCGTCAAAGCAAAGACTTTCTCATTGGATTGTGGAGGCCATTTCCCTGTGTTACAGCGTCACTGTCGCCCAGCTGCCCCTAGGGGTCAGGGCACACTCTACTGGAGGTGTGGCTGCTTCTTGGGTGCTGTTAAAGGTGTTTCAGAAGGTGACATTTGCTCAGCTGCAAGCTGGGCTACACCCCACACCTTTGTGAGGTTTTACCACTTGGATGTTTTGGCCCCTTCGGTGGCCCATGTTCTCTCTGCTGGATCTGACTTGCCATTAAGGTTGCAATCTCAGGCCAGGTTTGATAGCTGCTCATGGGGCGTTTCGATAAGTCCCGTAGTACCTTCGTTGTACCGAGTGAATCGACTTAAAGGGAACGTTAGGTTATGCACATAACCACTGTTCCCTGAAGGAGAGGAACGAGGTACAATGCAGGGCTGCCCCATTTCACAGCCCAACTCGGTGAAGAGCAGCTATCGAACTGAGGAATGACAGTGACACGGTCGCTTATAAGTGGAGGACGGGGCCTCCATGCAGCGTCACTTTCATTAGCCTTACAGGTGTGATTAAATTGTCTTCAGCCAGGCCACACGAGGGCATGATGTCCCATAGTACCTTTGTTGTACCTCGTTCCTCTCCTTCAGGGAACAGTGGTTATATGCATAACCAAACGTTTTGTTTTGCTTCTTTAGTTCCTTAGATGAGATCTGACCATCAACATACATACTGGTCAGATAATTTCCATTGGCTTCTATCTAGCCTCAGTTAGCTTGAGTTACGTTACCCAGTCAGCCAGCCAGCCCTACCAACATGTTATATTTCAACCCATGTTTATCCAAGCAGTGTTATGTTAAATTCACAGCATTTTTTAACATGGGAGTCAGTGAGGATTTGCTCACTTCTTGTGCCAGCCCCTAGTGGATGCGAGTGGAACTGCAATTTTTACTACTTCTGTTTTGGCTTCACAAAATCACCAGAATAATGGGGGCCTGGATTTGACCAGAGTTTATTCATTTTAAACGATTGGTTTCAGTAAAGTTTATGGGGAGGTCCTTTTATGAGGGTCAAGTGAAAACATATAAAGGTGAGTAAAACCCATTTTACTACTACTAATTAAAAACGATAGATCTATATTGAAATCAGGTGTTTTGAGGTATGTGTGTATATCTGAGACTCTTATTGTGAAGGTCAGAAAGTTTTTTTTACTGTGAACCTGGCTGTGTGAGTAGCTTAAAGAAATCACCTTGTATTTTCATCTTTGAAAACTCAGCAGAACCATTTGTTTTAAAATGAAAAATTAAAACCAGAACAAATAAAGACAAGCTACTGGTCAAATAAAATCTTCTGGTTATTAATATATGGAAGTAGTAAGTAGTATTTCCACTTGTTTCATTATTCTTGAAACATCTTTCTACTGTTTCCGTCACGTTGGCTCTAATATTGTGTCATTTGTAGTCAAACACGTTTCCTGTTGCTGCTTTGGAAGTGTGATGACAAAGAGCCACCACCAGAGGGAGCCAACAGTCCGCTATGCTGAGAGGTTTCATGAGGTTGTTGGCTGAGGCGCCCAGCCTCCAAACCTGATTTGATTTGATTCGGTCAGAAATATAACAAAACATAATATAATCATAAAACACTACATTTATAGTGACTGAAAAGGCTCAGGCAAAAAGCAGTAGGTTTATATTCAATTCAATTCAATTTTATTTATATAGCGCCAAATCACGACAAGAGTCATCTCAAGGCACTTCACATAATAAACATTCCAATCCAGGTCAGTTCATTAAGCCAATCAGAAAAAATGTTTCCTATATGAGGAACCCAGCAAATTGCATCAAGTCACTGACTAGTGTCAGTGACTTTACAGCAATCCTCATACTAAGCAAGCATTTAGCGACTGTGGAGAAGAAAACTCCCTTTTAACAGGAAGAAACCTCCAGAGGATCCTGGCACGGTATAAGCAGCCATCCACCACGACTCACTGGGGATCGAGAAGACAGAGCAGGCACGCACGCACGCACGCACACGCACACACACACACACACACCTGGTGCTGGTTCCACAGGAGAGGAGCCTGATAACTAAAAGATCTGCCTCCCATCTTGATTTTAGACATTCTGGGAACCACCAGTACACCTGCAGTCTGACAGCGACGTGCTCGGTTAGGAACGTATGGAACAATCAGATTCCTATGATGGACCTTGATTATTAAGAGCTTTATATGTGAGAAGAAGGATCTTAAAATCTATTCTGAATTTAACAGGTAGCCAATGTAGGGAGGCTAAGACAGGAGAGATATGATGATCTATTTTAATT